GATTGATGATCATGATGGACAAATGCAATCCTGTCCATAATTGACAAGTTCGGTGAACGCAGTTATCTTCTAGTCATTCAAGTGAGAGGACTTGTTTGCACGGAAAGATGCCTGACCCGGCAGCTTGGTCTTATTTTTGGTCTTGGCATGCCCCAACCAGGACGTTCTGTCTGAATCGCTGCAACAGTCAATATTTTTTGGTCACTCTTGAATGTTATTTTCTCGCACGGCTTTCGCAGTTGTTGCATACTTGCGTTTGCCACCACCGAAGTCTGTCTTTCAATAAGTAATAATCCTAAGTTCAGTACCATACTCTACGCTACAAATCCTTGCGTTGAGTGCGTTGCCAAATTCAGCAAGGTTTGTGAAAGATAATCTCTGTCGTATATTAGTTTATGGCTTTGAGAATTTCAGGCAAGCTTGTTGTGCATATTTTTCGTGATTGAACATTTGCGTTATAGTTTTAGGGTCTGGTAGTTTGTAGCAGTAAATTGCTTAGTTTTGCTTTGAAATATTATATGACATGATAACGCGCCAAAAACATACCGTTTACACAAAAAATCCCGATCTACGCCAAAAATTACGATTCACGCCAAAATATGCGACTTTCTGTTGTGAGAAACCGGCTACTAGTGCATTTTTTATAAGGCGAAGCTCATTTCAAAAGTCTTTAGGGCAGACAGTTTTGAATATGGGAGCCCGACAGAAGGTAACTTCAAGGGTTGACTAAACCCGTGGGAATCCATATGGAATGGGAAACAGTTTGCATTTGTACTGATTTGTGGGAAATACAGACACGAGTACGGGTAAGACTTTTACGAAATGCTAGGTAGATACTTCAAATAAATAATACACAATCTTACTGTATGCACTTATTTTCGTCTTTTTCATCTTTGTGCAGAAGCGGCGCCATCAATGTTTGGTATGAGGCCAAGGCCGTAAAACGACCACGACACTTCAATAAGAATACATGGGTGAGAAATCAAGCGTTTAGTAACTGACAATCGCCTAAAAGATCATTACTATGAGAATGTGCCTGGCGCTGTTCCACCGTAAGGCACGGAAAGGGCGGGACCTGTAAGGCGCGAGAACCTGTAACTGTACCTGTAAGGCGCGAGAACTGGCAAGCAGGGCAGGACCTTAGGCCCGAAACTTTCAAACGGGTTTCTTCCTTTTCCCTCCCAGCTTGGATGGACGTCATGTACTTCGGCGGAAATATGTTTGCAGTGTCGTGGCTTCTTCGCAGCAACGTGCATGCTATCACCTAGGTCAGTAGGCCATAGCAGTGTATATGTGTGGTATGTTCAGCGACAAAATATTCGCGGGGTGCTATTTTGTGTATTCCCCGAAGCTACCCAATGGCTTGACCACCCGATTAGTAACATTTTTGCCATTTTATTCGGCCACGGAAACGCTAATAAAATTGGCGAGTACAAAAATTACCAACTACCGGGGCTACAGGTGGGTATGGGTATGGGGGGGGGGACCATAAACCCCTCGAGTTATGATGTCTAGGTCAGCACCAGTTCAGGTACTGGCCGGCACGAAGAACAGCATGCATGGTTTTCAGCTGTTGGCGCTGCGCATACGGAAGGGCTGGACTCTAGAGTCATCATACTCGTACCAGTCCCACAAAAAGGACTGTTTACATTGGGCCGTGTAGTGGTCCGAGTGCAACACGCCAGGTTGGTTGAACACACCGTACATGTTGTAGTAGCGGTTCCTCTGTACGGCATAGCACGGTGACAGATCCAAACTGCTGGTGGAGAAGTCAACGGTGGAATTCCACTCGCCTCCGTTTTGATCTCACTGCAGCGAGAGCCGTTTCAGGTGCACTGAAGGGATGCGCGGATGCCTCTGAATCCGGAAGTTCTCTGAGTACTTCCGGCATTTCTAGCCTGTGGTGCACGTCGGCTTTTCATTTCTCTCAAGCATCTCTTCCCTGGTGAAAAGGTCAAAGCAATCCTGTAACTGCACCTGACCCGCTGTAACCTGGCTCTGGCTCGGCCCACCTAGCCTGCTGGCCAAATGGTCTTTGTTTGTTTATCGAAAAATGTTAGCAGCGTAAATTCGGCTCCTCAATTTCAACGAGACTTACTGACCGCTGCCTGCGAACCACAAAGTTAATATGCTTCTCCCATGTCTATACCACTAAGCGGAACCAAACGTTCTCGAACGTGACGCGCTTGTACTAGCAGCAGTGATTGCGGCAGTCATTCCTGCTCTGTTACACTAACTGCCACTCTGAAGTATCACTAAAACTATAATCCCACCTTTTTGTACTTTTTTCTTATTGTTGCATCAAACGCCTACGATTTGATGTAATGTCAGAAATGCCAGTTTCCTCGTAACCCTTTTGAATGGCTGAGGCTTTTCATTCGAAGTAGTCTATCCTGCCGGAGAAATCTCAAGCACACCACTATGAAAATGATATATTTAATGTGCCTTGCTTTTCTGCTGTGTGCATGTTCTGCACTGCCTGCAACAAAAAATATGAAAACGTTTGTGTAAAAAATGCAACAAAAGTTTCAAACCCTGCTTTGACGAAAAGACATGCGAACATGAAGCTATTATCGCGCGAGGTCAACGAAACGTCATATTATGGCTTTGATTTCTCCCCTGTGGCTTGTTCCACAAAGGCTCTTTTCGATGAGCACTTTGGCTCAGGGAATGGGAGTATTGCATGGTCCACAATGACGCACCGGCGCAAGCTTTAACGAGTGCGCTTCTCGGTAACAGGCTCTTGCCCGCTGGGATCATCACAAACATCCGTTTATGTGCACCAGTAGAAGCGAGCATTGTGGTTGCCATGACGACGGCGTTTGCGACTGCAGGGAAGAAGAGTAGTGCTGTTACAAAGTGCTGGCAGCGTAGGTTAGATTCGAAATTAATTAAAATTGGTATCCTTATCATGGTCAGATGGCCCTGCAGCAGCACCACCCAGTGTTATTATTAGACTAATTAGTCGCTAGATGTTTCCCTAGAGTATGTTTTGAAATATGCCCCAAGGTGCGGAGGTCAAGAGAGTTCAACAGGACATGTTTTTTCAAAATATGTTCCAAGTGTGGGACGCTTCATTTAGAGGAAGTCCTCAACATTTGTATGTTGGTTTTGAACTAAAAAAGTAATTTTGAAAATAATTTGGTGCAGGTCACAGCCCTGCCTTTCGTAACACCTAAACCCTCTAGTTTCTGATCTAAAACTCGCGATGATGTGTGCACGTTTTCGCCCAGACTATTTCAAGGTCATCCAGGCAGGTATGACGCCATAGAAAGGTCATTTGCATCCTACCACCCCATTGGCCATGCGACATTCAAGGCCAAAAAGATTATAATCGACGACCATTCATATCTGGCGCTCGTGAGGATGATTTCCAGACATAATGGACGCCAACTGGCTCTCAACCAATGATGTGCAAGCTCGGTGTTTCAATTACAAGTCATGTGTTGTGCTACATGCTGTAAGAATTTGGACATCCTTGCTAGTTATTACGAAACGAGGATTTGAGACTTATGCTCCAATGATATTTAGATATAATGGACGCCAGTTAAATAACACCCAATGACGTACAGGCTGGGCAAGGTTCAATCACGAGTCACGTTTCGTGCTTCCTATTATAAGAAGCTGGACATCCTTAATAGTTGTTGCGAAAATAAGACTAGCAATCAAATAACTTAAAATGGTCATAATCAAGTGTGAGAATGCAACGAAACACCTTAAACTAACGGAAAATGTGCAACAGCACCATGAGAAAGGCCAAAACACGAGCGCATGCGATATTTGGTTCAGCAAACGCCTCCATCACTACCCCGACCATCTTCAAGCAGATTTAAGTAGTACAAGTGAGTGGTAAATAGCCATTTCGTACGGCCAGCTTGGCAGCACCTCAACGCAAACGCTCCTTGACGCAATCCAAAAATGACGTATTGAGGAACACATTTACTAAATAGAGAAAGCTTAAGCAGTCTTATCGGCCTAAAGCAGTGTTATTCACGTTAAAGTGTACCAATAATTATGAGTATGTTAACTTCATCATATATAGTGCCTGCCTTATTTCTTGAAGTGTAGAACATTCCCTTCAGCACACGATTTTGCCTCCTGATTTAGAAGATGTGTTATCTAATTCATAAATGAGGTCTTGTGACAAAAAAACTGGTTTCTTGTCCGCTTCTACGAGCTTGACAGTCATTGGCAAAAGGGGTCTCCCAATTTTGTTGGGGGGGGGGAGGAGGGATAAAAACATGCTCTTGCCAGTCTGCCTGCCGGCAGGGGATTAACTGCCCTCTGCCCGCTGCTGCACCACCCCTGGCCGTCAGCAGTTTCAGCCAGCCGGTTTTAACCGGTAACAGCTGGCTAGAATAAACTGTTTCAGCCGGTCGCTAGCAACCCCATCATCACCCTGCAGGCCGCAGCCCCTCTGCAGATTTCTAGGTGTTTTATATCTTGCATAAGGCACCTTGTGACCCTTCCCGTTGACGATCATGGCGCGTCTGATGGTAAATATCACGGACTCCTCGCGCCGTGGATTCTTTAGTGCCTTATCGTTCGAGAAACCGTGACAGAAGAGTGACAAACGCACCTATAGTCACCGGTGCAGATCTGAGAGCTGCATGCGCCTCTAGTCAGGCCCTCAGCATCTTTTTAGTGTGCAGCACGATTTGACAAACAGCTGTTCCCCTGCATTCAAGATACAATGCAAACGCAAGCGCACGCACGGCCGCGGAGGCAGCGCCACGATCCCGTGACGTCCCTCGGCGGGCCCTGCTCCTGAGCCCACTGGTCCGGGGACGGACCCCATTTGACCTGATCATATGTTGGCGACCGACGTCGACAAGTCGGACGGCTGCCCGTGACCCACTCGACACGGTCCTCGTCGACGCCGACGACTGAGCCACGCCGCTGACGGGACGCCCGCCGGCCGTCGCGCGTCCCGGAGCTGTTCAGCCCCGGGTGGGCTCAACGGGCGCAATTGGCGCGCTGTGGCGAGGCCGGCTGGCTGGCTGGCTGCCGGCCGTCTAGTCTGGTCCAGCCGGCCCAGGTGCGTGTCCGGTCGCCGAACGCAGTCCGCCGTCTTTCCGTCAAGCCAAAGCGAGCAAGTGCTAGTGCCGAGCGCCGACGCTCCCTCGCACGATTGCTTGTGCAGTGAACAGTCCAATCGCCAACATTTGGAACCCGCCACCGGGACGTGTCCGTCGTCGTGGGTCGGTCCGCTGCCGCAACTGTGGTGAGTGGGGCGCCGTGCACTGGTCTGCGTCTGGCGGGTTGCATCAGAGTCCGGGCGCCGACTAAGCAGGGACATGTAGGGCAGCCCAGCCCAGAAGTAGGAGTTTGCAATGCCGTGGCGCCGAATCGGCCAGACAGTGGTTAATCTACACGGGTGAAAATTTGGAAATCTCTTTGGGGAGTGGCGTGTTGTTTACCTCCATTCTGCCCGCACAACGCTAGCGCAGTCGGTCGCATCCTCAAATACGGAAATGAGGGGGGGGGGACGAGAGACGAACCTAGGGGTGGCTGCCACCTGATATTCATTTCTAATGTTGACTTGCCCAGAAGGCGCAGGGGCAGTTGTGGTAAGTGGAAACGTAGGGCGCTTTATGGGCGTCGAATGTGCAGCACATAGGCCCACAGTTCAAAATCTGAAGCTCTGCCTACAAACGTTAAGGAAATCCATCCGCGCTGCGGTGGTGGGCATAGGCTCTCAGTTTCAGAATGAAGGTCAGAAGACAATGTTAGAAGTCTGCGAAAGTCAAATTCCATTTATCCAGTGAGAGGCAAAGACGACATCGTGCGATGTGCCGAACTGGTGACTAAACCCTGCTGTTATTACTACTGAACTACTAACTACTGCTTCTAATGAACTAACAACTACTACTTCTACTACTATTACCATTAAACCCTGCTGAACTAACCGACGAAACCAATCACAAAGAGTCGGATGGCTCTCTATCCCTGGAGCTATTCGAAGCAACGGATGACTGGTGAGGTGTTAAGGGCGGCTGATTGAAGGGAGTATCGAATCACCCTACGGATGACACCCATAGCTTTAGGTTCCGACGGAACAGGTGGCTTGTGGCGAGTGCTCTGTTCGTCTGACGCCTGGGCAGGAGAGTCGGCTGATGCAACCGCGCGCCTCCGGGCGGAGGGTGTCGCCCACCCGGCGGGTCCAGCCAGCGGTCTTGTGGCTAGCGGACGGCGGCTGGCGTAGAGCTGTTAAGCGGACCTCTTGTTGCCGATAGGTGGACTTTGATACGGAAGAATTAGAAAGTCATCGCAAAACGTGATAAAATCAAATGGACGAGATTCAAAACATCGAAAAGTCGAAAGGACGAGGCCAAGTGTTTCCGGTTCGAGTATGTGTGGTGTAGCAAATGCGTCTGGCTAATGGACGGCTTTGGGGAGTAGGAAGAAGGAAACCTTTGCGGACTAAAACCGTGCTGCCACGGTCACAGGTCATACGATAGTTACGACGATTTCAGGCTCCTTGATTAAGAATGGGCCAGCCAATCCTGGAAGACAAGTTCATATCCCCAAACGGGGCTGTCTGATCTGAAACGAGAGCCCCTCGATGCACGCAGCGTCCTCCATTTTCAGAACAGAACCCGTCTGATCCACAGAGGGTGACTTCTGATCTAAAGCAGTGCGTGCTGGTTCATATGGAGCCTTCTGAGCCAGCTGCACTCCCGCTAAAACAGCACAGGGCCTGACGAGACCAGTGGCCACCAAATTCACATCGGAGCTTTCGTGGCACAGAAAACGGAGCCCTAAAATAGCCTTCTAAATCCGATGAAGGTCAGCCTTGCTCAGTTATAGGGAATTTTTACCTCGATTTTGATAACATGCTCGTAACCGCCACGGTTTCATTTTGGGTTAAAGGGCGCCTCCCAAAATGCGGGAAATATGCTTGTTTCCCCGCCATCAGGCAGAGGGACAACCGCTAGGGAGGGGAGGTCCCTCCCCTCTCCTACCACATTGCCCCTGACCTCGCCGGCTCAAAAGGGTCCCCTGGTTTTGACTGCCCTGTTAGTGGGCCCCCAACTGGCATGTAAAAGAGTGACAGTCTGGAACTAAAGGGAACAAACAACCTCGTGACTGCGTGGACGGTGCAGATGCCCCTGGCTGTGGTTCGGAAGGGACTCGCGCATGGGCGACGAAGGGATCCTGAAGGAAATGGATTGGCTTCAGCTACGCCAGGACCTCATCGCATCAGCTAACTTGTGACTGAGCTGACTCGTTGAATGTTCTTCTATCTTTCTGGCTTGCATTCGTTTCATCTATTCTTTTACTGTTCACTTCTTACCATTTTGACTCCCATTCACCTTTCTTTACCTACTGTTCTGCCAAAAAACACTGTGGAAAAAGGCGACTGGTTTTCTCAAATTCATTTTTCACAAGCATGGCATAAATCTAACACTGAATAGTTAAGTGAATTCTGGGCAACATTTGGCGCGTGTCAGCACGACTCGCGTCATGAGCGAACGTCAATCGGACTCCAACTATTTTAACGCGTTGAATGCAAGTTGCGAACATTAATCACGTTTCGTGCTACATAATGCCACAATTTTGGCCAGTGGTACGGGTTCTGACGGAAATGAAACTGGGAATTGGAGAACGTAAGAATAGCGCCACAGCTGGGTGTGTTCATGGAAATAAAAAAGTAAAATGAAAGACAAATACGCAAGAAACCACGAAAAAGGACCAAAACACAAGTACGCAACGATAGTGCGGTCGAGCAAACACTGCCACCTCTCGGCAAGTTTAAGAGCTACAAATGAGTCGGCCCACTTTGTTACGAAAGCTTTTCCGACACGGCTAGGCTGGTAGCGACTCTGACGTCACAAAAAGGTTCTATGACGTAATCAAACGATGACGTATTGAGGAACATATTTTATGAAAAGAGAAATTCTGTTGTCTTAAGCAGTTTTACGCTTAACAGCTAGCCAGTAGTTACTAATGCGCTGATTTCACCATATCTTAGGTTTGCTTTAATGTCTTCAAATGTGAAACACTCCCTTTAAATGGCTGTGTACTGTCGCATTAGTAGCGTTGTATGGTGATGTATTTTTCATGCAGGGGCGTGCGCCCATATTAGCCCGAGGAGCGTATCACGTGCCCCGTACAGAATTTATATCACGTATTGGCATGCATGTTTTAGTATTACAGAGGATCAAAACATAAGTTGTTACGTGCATCGGCGAGGAACATTATTCACACAGATAAAACAGTAGTATTAGCCTTATTCCTTGAAGAAAACCAGGAGAATGGAGATATAGTTGGGCTACCCAACTACATCTCCATTTTCCTCGTTTTTCCGAGGAATAAGGCTAATACTACTGTCTTATCTAAGATCGAAACATGCCATGTTTGACGACACACAAGAAATTGCGCGCACCTGCAGCACACCAAGCTTGGTCTGGAGAATAAAAATAGCTATGCCCCACCTCCACCTCGACTGGAACTCTGCGTACCTCCCTGCTTTGAAAATACAACGTTTTGGATTTTACCCTGAAACTAGCAGTTCTGTTTTTAACAGAAAACACACCGGCACGAGGTAAGTACTAAGACCATTATTAATTGGTAACCAAATATGTCCTAGCCAAGGACTGGTTCATATAGCCCAACATCGGGAACAATGGAATAAGACTTCCCCATTTTACGCAATCTGTTTTCCTGCTGCCGTGCGCTTCTGCCGCTGACGAACCTTTTCTCAATTATTGCTCACCTCGCTATAACATGTAATTCGAGCCACCAGGTGTCCATGCAGTGAGACGGTTTTAACTTGGGGAAAGGCAAAAGCGGTGGTTACGTGATTCATAATTGTCTTACCGATCTCGGCCAGGCCCATTTATTGACATGAACCATGAACCAAAGCTTGCAATGACTTCATTTATCGATGTTCAGGTCCGAAACACGCTTAGCATGTCTTCCGCACGCACACAAGGCAATCGCATAAGTAACTAAAAGGGCGATGGTCGCTGCGTGGCGCACTGATATCGGATACCATCGTGAAGAGACTGCACAGAATCTCAACACGTTTATTTTTCCTGGTGGAGATTGTTCAACACTACTGTGATAAAATGTATCTCTTTCAAAAAGATGAAATAACTTTGCGTATTTGGCGAGTTCATATTCGGGCTTCTGGAATTACGGTCGTGGCGAAATTATGCTCCACATTCTTCATTCGATGGGCCTGAAAGCAACAGCCGAACCCATTACGTTCTCACTTCGGCATATAGGATGTCGGCGCCTGGGTGCTCGGCACATTTTCACTCTAGCCTCGTGCGCAACGCCTGGCCTCCGGCGCGTGTGACGAAATCATGAGCGGGGCAGCGAGACGTCAGGTCATCTTTGTTTCCGATGACACGGCCTTGTGTGGACGGGAGCGAGCAAAATGGATCGAGGTCAGGTAGTACGAGGGTTAAAAATATGAGTTTGCCGCAATGTTATTGTTGATTTACACGTGTAAAACATCAATATGTGGTCTGCTCATTTGATGTCTTCCTTTTCGTTTGATTTCTCTATTCGCCGTACTAACTCTGCAAAACATGCATGAAACCTTGTTCTTCTTTTGGCTGGCCTTTCTTTCTAAATTTCTCTCGTCACCCATAAATATTTAACCCATGCTTATATATTCGCATTGGCGGGTACGACGCGGCGGTGTTTTCATGGTATTGACAATGTTTTGATTCACAGCGGTGCGGCCAAGGACAACGCAGGAGTGTGGACACTTCAATCTGTGGCGCTGAGCAGTTACTGGAGCACAAACGCTCTAGACGTAGTAAAATATAAACAGAAAACCGGTTTGGTGGGTCCAGCCACCTGAACACATTGGTCATGTGGGGTTCTCAAATGACTCGTATTTGGAACCCTCGGGCCACAGTGTCGCATGGCTCCCCCGAATTGCTGCCCGCACCGCGCCCGCGCGGGTTCTTTTCGGAATGGCGCTGGCCTGCTATCATGGTTCCATTACTGGCTGGCGACCGCGGGGTCGGTACTTTTGTTGCAACCTGGTCAATGTCTTGGGCGCTTAGCTACTTTTTATCTGTACAGCTTTTTAGGTTTGTTTCTCTCAGCCCCAGCTCACAAATGTGATGTAGTTTTAAGATAGGGAGCAATGTGTCGCGTGGGTACTAATGTCATGAGTCAACGCTGTGGTTGCTGCTTTGTAAACGGAGTAAAGCAGCAGGGATTAATGGTAATGGATGTCATCCGGCCTTTGAGAAGTTTTGTTGGAAATGCGAAACTCGCGATTGTTGTGCCTGAAGGTGATGCGTAAATCGTTCACGCAATGCAATGTAGTCCGTGTGCCGACTGTGACGTGGATTCACCCGATGCATTGTTGTCCGTGTGCCGACCGTGACGTGGTTTCACCCGATGCAGTGCTGTCCGTGTGCCGACCGTGACGTGGATTCACCCGATGCATTGTTGTCCGTGTGCCGACCGTGACGTGGTTTCACCCGATGCAGTGCTGTCCGTGTGCCGACCGTGACGTGGATTCACCCGATGCAGTGCTGTCCGTGTGCGGGCCGTGACGTGGGTCCACCCGATGCAGTGCTGTCCGTGTGCCGACCGTGACGTGGGTTCACCCGATGCAGTGCTGTCCGTGTGCCGACCGTGACGTGGTTTCACCCGATGCAGTGCTGTCCGTGTGCCGGCCGTGGCGTGGGTCCACCCGATGCAGTGCTGTCCGTGTGCCGGCCGTGACGTGGGTCCACCCGATGCAGTGCTGTCCGTGTGCCGGCCGTGACGTGGGTTCACCCGATGCAGTGCTGTCCGTGTGCCGGCCGTGACGTGGGCCCACCCGATGCAGTGCTGTCCGTGACGTGGGCCCACCCGATGCAGTGCTGTCCGTGTGCCGGCTGTGACGTGGGCCCACCCGATGCAGTGCTATCCGTGTGCCGGCCGTGACGTGGGTTCGCTGTGCCGCAGGACGAGAGATGTCCGTGCCGTTCAGCTTCCACGCGGTCAGCAAGGTCCGCGAGAATATGAACAAGGGTGACGGACAACACCAGCGGAGCAGCACCCCGCAGGCCAGCGCCAAACAGAACAGCTGGACCACCGGTCAGGGTAAGCACAGAGATGTGTCCTGCTCCAACGGGCGATCCGCAGGAGGTCGCGGATAGCTCTGTGTCCTGCCCCGCCCGGGGATTCCTGGTGGTTACGTCGTCACACCAGCTGGCGATACGTTTACAGCGAACGCGTTCCTCGGATCGTAGGGAAAACACTCACCGATGTCATATGGTTGCTGATGTGCAGTGACGTTATGTGCATTGAGGTTCTTTATAGACGCATGTGTTTCATGAACAGCTTCATCGGACTTGATAAAGTGAGTTCGTGAAGGAGAACTATGTAAATGTATTCAAGTATGGTGACCATACCATATTTTATTTCGTTATTTCATTCGAGAAACCATATCTGATGAGCGTGACGTAGAACACCATATGCTTTGATCGCTGAAACAAGGTTGTATGCTAAGCTCTACAACATAGAGGGGGCCTTCAAAGAGTCCAGAATGGGCCATGAACGAAAAAAAATTCGACGAAAAAAACGCGCCAGCCTGTCCATTACAACACAATTCAGGGCGGGATGTACGCCTGTGGTGAGGTCGATAGGTAACTGGTTCGGCTCTACATCAGTAGCTGTCAGGGACGACTTCTACTACGTGGGGAGGACATTCACGCGCGAACAGATTCTCAAGGGCACTCGTGACAGGAGTTCCAGGAACAGGCGCCGGAGTGGTCGCGCGGGGGCACCAGACAGCCTGGGGATGAGGGGTTCGCGTCGACGGCGTATCCCGGGAAAAGGAGTTCTGGGATCAGAAACGTCCATGTATGCATGCGCCCAAGGAATGTGATTGTCTGCATACCTTTGTGTGACGTGATTGCTGTAAGCTCCCGAAACAAATTATACCAGTATTTTACGTCGCGCGATGGTGGTCATCCATTGGACCGCATTGCTGGGCCGATTCCGTGAAGCAAAGGCTGGTTCCGTGATCTGGCTCGAAGTTCGGAAGTCGCGTGAGTTCCGCGATCACGGGCTTTGAAAACAAGCGGCATCCATCTCAATCAGTCCGTTTGGACCGATCCCGTTTCTCACAGCCACCATGCGCTGGGGCGATCCGTTTTTCACAGCCACCATGCGCTGGGGCGATTCTCTTTTCACAGCCACCGTGCGCTGGAGCGATCCGTTTTTCCATAGCCACCATGCACTGGAATGATTCGTTCCTCACAGCATAGCTGCGTTTTGAGTCCAGGATTTCATGAAGAGACGAGAGACAAGCCAGCGTGATGTTCGCACAGCCTGTGAGCTCCATCTAAAGGTGTGGGTCATGACTCGAACTGGATGGCCCAGCCAATGACATCCTGCCGCCGGGTAGACGGCCAACCAAGGCTGGGCAGTATCGCTGGGGTCACTGGGGAACAAGCGCTTCCGCAAGCAGTGCTCGCCAAGGCCCAGTCATAATATCGTCACAGCTGACCGCCCTTCCTGGAGCCTCTTTCCATCATGCCCAGGATCGTGCCGCATCAGACGGGTACTCCGAGAGCAGCTCACGCAGCTCCAAAGTCCCCCTGCACCAAACTGCCCTCCTCCAGAGTGTCTCAACCGTCCCGGGCCGCGCGGGGTGGACCCCAGTCCGGTCGGCTCGTTCTCGGCCGGCGCCGGCGCCCCGACACCGTGAACTATCGGGCCGATCTGCGCTGGCGCCGCGCGCCGAGGTCGGTCCGTGCTCCCCCAGCTGCCGCCGCCGCCGCTCAGCCTCGGCCTGGTTCGCTTGCAGCGCCGTCCGCTGTCGCTAACAACGGCGAGACACCGATGGTCCGATAATTGGAGGGGAGCCGGTCCACTGGCGCCGGGAGCTGACAGCCACCGGTTGCGAAATGCCCACAACACCAACAAAGGGATGTTTTTATTGCATTGCATTGAATTGCAGCGCTGAGGTCTTCCCTGGAGACGACGCTATTTGCAAATGCGATGGCATCCCTACTTACGAAGACCTCGACGAGCGTTGCTGTTTTGAAGATGCACTTGCCCTGCTTTCTCGGCAAAAGTGATTTCTGCGCAGAATAAGTCACATAACGAGCGGTAGTGGGCTCATGCGCCTTCCAGTGTATGAACCCACGAGACGGACCGCACGTTTTTACCTGAAACTAATGGCACCATATCATAGAAGAGACCAGGGGCGACAATTTGTGTACAGGATTATGGGGTCAAGTTGTATACCGACAGCAAAGTCTGATGTGTTTTCCAAAGGTGCATTTTCAAACAGCTTAGTATATTAGCCCATTAGCATAAGCATACCATAGCATTAAAATTTCGTAGCGCACTAGCATTTAACCATTACCCATTATCATAGCTCATTAGCTCTTTCTTGTTTTTACATTATCTTTTAAATGGTTGTTTATTTCAGCAACATAGCAGTTCTGACTATGAAATGATTCCCAGGGAATGCAAGCCGACTGTGATGTTGAGCTTTCTCTTCGTTTTTTTAATATTCTATCAGACATATTGTGCGCCCAACGTCAACATAGGGGTGGGGAGCGGGCAAAGCTGTCTACAAATCGGCATCCCTCAAAGACACCCGCGCCATAAGGCTGATTTCGTGGTCTGCTCCAGGATATCGGGCGTGCGAAGCGTGGCTGCTTACAACCGGTGCTGACGTGACTCGTCTCCCGCACTGACGTGACTCGTCTCCCGCACTGACGTGACTCGTCTCCCGCATTGACGTGACTCGTCTCCGCTGACGTGACTCGTCTCCCGCATTGACGTGACTCGTCTCCCGTGCTGACGTGACTCGTCTCCCGTGCTGACGTGACTCGTCTCCCGTGCTGACGTGGCTCCGGTGCTGACGTGACTCGTCTCCCCTGCTGACGTGACTCGTCTCCCACCCTGGCGCGACTCGTCTCCCGCGCTGACGTGACTCGTCTCCCGCTCTGGCGTGACTCAGCCCCCCCCTGCTGACGTGACTTGCCTCCCGCGCTGACATGACTCGGTCCCGGTGCTGACGTGACCGCCTCCCGTACTGACGTGAGTCACTTCCCGTGCTGACGTGACTCGCCTCGCGTGTTGCAGTGTCTGCCGACCTGCAGTCTTACTCCAGCAAGATGATGAAGGCCATCTGGGGTCAGTACAACCAGTACTCGGTGCACAACATCAAGTCCAACCAGGCCTTGGCCGGAGCCGACGCCGCTCGGTCCCAGACTAAGTCTGGGACCGAGCGCGCGCGCGGCGAAGACCGCTTCTCTGTGGCCGGTCTGTTCTCCTCCCAGTGAACAGGTACGCTGCTGGATGGTGTCGGGAAGTGTGAGGAGAAAGCTTCTCGAGGCGGACGTGTCTCGCAGGTTATGTAGATCGGAGACAGCTGTGAGCGAAACTCGACGGTGGAGTGCTTATTTCTCCTAGTGAGAATGAGTCGCACTTTTTTCTTTTGCGGTATGTTTGTGCCCGCGGTTGAGTGATTTTTGCTGTATGTGTGTTCTTTTGCAGGTTCGTCAGTCTTTAAAACATGCGGACTCGACAAACGTAGGTCAGATTCACATCCGTCCGCTTAAGATCGGGAAGAACCGCAACTTAACCCGGTTTCCGTCCGTCCTGCCCGCTCGTGACGACACGTCGGGGACGGATGGCATGAGGTAATCGCCCTGTCTTTGTTTCAGGGAGTCGCGAGGACACGGCCACCACGGGGGATCGAAGGACTGACGCCAGAATTGCGTTGACTTTTGAAGACCGCTGAGCGCAAGATACGCTAGCCGGCTTCATACAGGGGTGCATAGGGATAGGCTTCAGGTGTGCGGTGAAGTTGTTTATGCTTGATTAGGCTTGGTAGCGCTATGTAATATATCTGTTCGCCTGAAATGTATTCATCACCAGCGTAACCGGCTTCTATTCTATTCGTTTATTTGTCACCGTTTGGAACGTCTTCGCTTACGGACTTATATTGTGGAATGTTATCCTGTAAGGTGTGCGGGAATAAAACATGAAAACAGCTGCCACCAGGCACATGGAAACGTCGCAGCTCCGGTTCTGAGACCCATCTGCCCACACTCGGCGGCCATAAGTCGGTGCCGCCGGGCCCCTGCACGCGGCCCGCGTCAGTCTCAGCACAGCAGTGGGAGCTTGGTCCTCCGCCGCGTCAGTCTCAGCACAGCAGTGGGAGCTTGGTCCTCAGCCGCGTCAGTCTCAGCACAGCAGTAGGAGCTTGGTCCTCGGAGGGAGCCTGTCACTTAATCAGGAACACGCTGGTGCCGCTGGAATGCCGGGACACCAGACGGTGAATGTGCATCCCATTTTGAGTGTTTTGACACTTCTGACATTTTGGCGATTTTTGGACAGGATCATGTTGTGCCAAAGATAACAGGCCTGCATGACATTTCGTTGTTGTTGTATCTTGTTGCATTGAATAATGATTGCTAGCGGATCTGGCTACACAAATCGATGTCCCCCATTTTTATTTTTAATGATTTGATCGATTCAATTTGTTTTTGCTATGTAGGAATGAAATTTCATTTCACGGCGATGTGGAACAGCATGTTTTGTGATCGAGCCATAGTGATCGACGAATATCGATGTTGTTCATCGAAGGTGGCCCAGGGCGCGAAGAGAATGTTTTATGTAGGATGGCGTGGCCTAACGTGTACGGGTCAGAGACCATGGAAAGTAGTTGAGCACACTGTCACAATGTGTTTATATATAAGAGCAGAACTGGTGCTCCCTTGTTTGTTAAAGATGGTTTCCTTTGTTATCACGATTTGATAGCCGTGAAAATCACTTACGACACCGACAGCACTGGCTGGTGCTTTGCGATTCCATTCGCAGTCTAATATCACCATACGTCACATTGTGCGGCACATGCACTTTCCACTGTTGGGGGATCATGGTTTACGTTGGCTTGGGCCACCTTGTACTTTAAACGTGAGCCTTTACTGGGCCATCCCGTGCTTTTGTGATGTTGGCGCGCCCTACAACCTAAAATAATCATCACTTCTTTTGAATGATTTGCACATCGCAGTCCTTATGTACACATTTTTCGCATAATCAAACATCTGCAGTTGCCATGTGAAAGCTGGTCATACATTTGCACACGCCCAACCTTTGACGGATTTGGCATCCTAGAAGCATTGGGTATCTACAGGATCATTTTTGGTACAAATGAACAGGTACTGGTGCATCCTCTACTAATCTCATGTACTAATTTCTCCATTGCACTGGCCCGGGAGAATGGAGAACCGGAACTAGCAACACTGATCATTGCTGCACCTTGTTCAGGGAGGCTGGGAGGCGCCGCAGTGGTCATCATTCGACGTTCGAGTACCAAATCGATCTATTGTCGGCAAAAAGTGATCAGGAATTGTTCGGTGGTAATGCTTCAAATAAATCATTGATCAAATATCAACGTAGAGGGAGTATGCCATCTTTTTGTGTCTCTCACTTTTTGTTAGATCCGACACGTACGATTTGGTAAGCCAATAACTAGTTTTCTCGAAAACCTGAATAGCTCAGAATAGCTGTTCCTGCGAGAGAAATGCTCACTGGGCTTCTGCTCGCGGATGTGGACGGATTACATTTTATTTGACTCGATTCTGTCCAATGTTTGCTAACGTTCCGTAATGTTTGCAGCACACCAATTTGTTGAAACGCTGGTGTAGTAAACGCTACAAAAGCTTTAACGTTTTGTAGAGAGAATATCTGCAAACATGGGGCTATTGCTCCGCGAACTGGATGAAACCTTATACTAAGGCTTTGATTTTACTCCTAGGCTTACGGCACAGTGGCTCTTTTCGAAGAGCACTTCGGCTATAGAAACGGGATATCAAATGGTCTTAAGTGACGCACTGGTTCAACTTCAACTAATGCGCTTCTTGGTATCTGGCCTTTGCTGCCTCCTTTGCCAATCACACAGATCCATCTGTACTGCCGTCATTCATGACCAGCAGAGGCGCCACTTTTAGGTCCACAGGCCCACAATGTGCGGAGTAAAACAGCTCAAATGTGATACTCTAGTTCGTAATGCTTGGCAACGACCCTTAGCCGATTCTGCCATCGTCATGACAACGGCAGTCGCGACAACGGCAGTTGTCGTGCACTTGGGTTACATTCTGGGGCGACCAAGAATTGTAGTGCTGTTTAAAAACCCTGGCATCGTACTATGTATTCATGTAACTAAAATTCATACCTCTAGTCTTTATGACGCGGCAAGTGGCACTACCCTATGCCATTATTAACGTAAATGGCCTTGAGGTTTCACCAACGTGTTTTTGAACTATATTTCAGAGGGAGGAACACTCCTTTTAAGAGATTGGCGATATGCAGCTCCCCTGTGGCAATCCGTGCTGTAGATGGGAGGTGTTGAAACGCAGACTCGCATCTGGCACCAAACGGTTTTGTTCCAAAAAGAAGTCCAACGAGACAGTGTGCTAAATGGCCTCTGAGCCACAACTAATGAAGCGTTAAGGTCAGTGCAGGTTTAAGGGACATGTCATGGGCACGGCTAATGTCGAGGGGTTCAACAGCGGTATGATGCCATTGTTAAAGGAACGTCGAGTGCCCGATTCCAGTCGGAAAATGTGGCCTACTGTGTTGCGATTGCGTCGAAATCCACCGAGATTGTTTTGGAAAAAGACCATCTGGTTCCAGTAACCAAGAGATTTTCTTCACCACCACGCACCTTTCCGAATCAGTTCGTGAGTGCAATGTGATACTAATTTTATGGGTCCTAGGCGTCTTTTCCTGATTTGGAAAAGAAATGCTGATCGTGTCGCTCTTATTGGAATGATCACAAATCATTGAACACCGCAAAAAATGGGGCAGGTTTCTAGGGAGACGAGACGCGCCGAAAACAAATCGTACAACTGATCATACTTGCCAAGGTTTTGACCACCGACTCCCACTGGCCAGCCTGGAGGGGGCGTTTTAAGGTACAGGCTAGCATCAGCTCTCCACACAGAAGGTGAGGTACAAATATCGGCAATGACCTACAGCATGGGACCCGAGGTCGAGCATGCGAAGCAATCGTCGCTCTTTGTGTAGACAGAGCGCACAATTTTGACACGATGATAAGTAATCTGGATAGGCATTTTATCCCAAAACGCAACTTTGTGGAGGCGTGACATAACTTTGAATTTAGGAACCAAACCATAGGCGAGTCAAATGAGACGTATACCCGGTCATGGTTCATCCAAGCTGACAAAGGCAACTTTTCAGGCAGAGAGGGAATAATGAGAGACCGTTTGGTCGCCGGGGTGACAGATTAAGACCGATGGAGGAAAGTCCACCTCAAACCGCCGAAGAAGACGTAACATTGCATGCTGTGATCAGCATGATGAGGAACCTTGACATCACCAATGGAAGCACGGAGCGGTCCGCCAGCTGCAGCATAACTCCGGGGCGACTGATGTCGTCAACAACAGACATCGCAGGTATACCCCGGCCGTGGGCAGAGGCGTTGGCGGCCGTCTTCAAGGACGCGGACCAGAACGGCATGTGCAGGTACTGCGGGCGCACGCGCCCCGGCGCACCTCACTAGTGCCCAGCAAGAGGTCGAGTTTGCTCGAACTACCGCAAGCGCTATCACTTCGCAGCAGCATGTCGTTCAAAGAGAGTGGCCGAGGTCAGCGACGAGAGGTGAGCCTGGTGAGCATGGTTTTCTTTTAGAAGCAGAACTAGATGGTAAGCGGGTAGTGAAGCTGAACATGCAAGACAATGGTGTTACTTTTAACGTCGAGCGCGGCGCAGATGCAAACGTGTAAACGTGTTGGGCCAACACCAGTACCAGAAGCTGCCACATCCGCCTGCTCTGCATGCAACCAACCGCAAGCTATTCAGTGTAGTCTACCTTCTGTAGGTGTTCGGACAGTTTAACATGGAAGTCAGTTTCAAAGAAAATGCGATGCCAAATCGAGAGGTTTTGCGTGATTCAAACATGCGCCAACGTTCTCTCTCTAGAGCCACAATCACCAAGATGGGTCTATTGTCCTCATGAAGACATCGCGGTAACAATAAGCTCCAAGAAGGTGTCACACCGTCTGCAGCGGAATAGCCAGGAACATGCCGATGCCCTTTCAAGAAAGCTGTAGAAAAATAGTTGAAATGACTCCAAGAGCAAGGCATCAATTATCAAAGTACGTGACAGCCAAGCGACTGGTGTGCTCCTTTTATTTCGTCATGGCACCAAGTTAAACAATCGGACGGATTAGTGGTAATTGTCATGAATTATAACGCTCTGAATCGTCGTCAATTCGTCGTCGTGTCGTCAGAGAAAAGTGATGAAGAAACACGATGCAATATAATGAAGAGTCCCTGTGGGAGGCCGTTCCTTAGATAATGGGTGTCAGAAGCGGTGGAGCCGCATCTCACACGACATGATATCGTGCCAGAAAGCAATCCAATGAGAAAATGAGCAAAATAAATGGTCTCTTAACCCCAGCTGATGGAGCGTGAAAATAAATGCAGGTATAAAGTAAATGTTGTAGGCACGGCTAATATGCGGGAAAACGGCAGTCGTATGACGTAGAAGTTTAAAGGAGCGTCGAGGGTTAGTCTCAAGTCGTGCGATATCTTCTATTGTACTTACATTGCGCCAAAATCTGCATACCTTTCTGAAATAAGACTGTCATTTTCCACTAGCCATGCTTTTCGCTTGACCACAGTCAGCTCAATAAACTTTCTCAGGCAAATCGTATGCCAGTGGAGAGATAATTTGAGGGATTTTGCGTGTACTTAACCGGCTTAGGGAGGGGAATAACGAGCGTGTTTTCCGTGCCTCGGAAAAGACGTGTCCAGACGCAGATCATCAAACACAGTAAAATGAAGGTGAGCATGTTGTCCGAAAGATAACGGGAAAAAAATGGTATAATTGAGAATTCCCTGCCGAGGTGTTGCGGGCAGTTTAAATTGCTCTCGGGGAGTTCCACTATCGAAAATGGTGCATTATGTTTCTGCATTGTCTGAAACAAGGCAGTTAGGTAAGAAACGAAAACGGACTTCCACAAG